GATTGATTGGCTGAAAACGAAGAAGCAGTCAGGAAGCGGAGCACCTGTTATCAATTAATTATGACTAAGTAGTTGGCCGCAGGCAAGGAAGCAGTCGGGCAGCGGAGCACGGGGTAAGACACGCCGCCGACCGCCCGCCCCGCCTTTGTGAGCAAGTCGCGGGTGGTGATGGTGCCGAGAGATGGCCAACTTGATTCATGATGAATTAATCAACGGCCTTGGTGAGGAGGTCGTAGGTGATGATGGTGCCGAAGGAGTGGCCTAAGAAGGGGAGATCGTATCTCGGAGATTGTATCTCGCCCGGGAGATGATGGTGCCGAAGGAGTGGCCTACGGGACATGTCTCGGAAAGGTCGTGGACGTGTCCCGGACATGTAGGTGACGATGGTGCGAGTGGCCAAAGATCGAGACGCCGCCGCTGAAGCCGGGGTGCTCCGCTACGAAAGCGCGGTACCTGCCCGGTGGTGAATGTGCTAATGAATGAATGAGCTGAGTAATCACCAACTTAATGGGTGCGCCGCTACATAGGCGCGGTACCTGCCATTGGTTCACTGATGATGACCAGAGGCTCCGCCACAGGTGGGCTAATCTCGAGCAGTCTCGGGTAATCTCGGGTGATCTCGAGCAATCTCGCTTCGAGGTGAGCTGGTCGGCGACGGCGTCGATGATGCGCTGGCCGTGCGACGTGGTCAGGTAGTAGAAGACGTCCATCACCTAATTAATTCTCAATTGTGCGTGTTAGCTGTTAATTATGCGACGTGGTCAGGTAGTAGAAGACGTCCATCACCTAATTAATTCTCAATTGTGCGTGTTAGCTGTTAATTATGCGACGTGGTCAGGTAGTAGAAGACGTCCATCACCTAATTAATTCTCAATTGTGCGTGTTAGCTGTTAATTATGCGACGTGGTCAGGTAGTAGAACACGTCCATCACGTTCTCGCGCATGAAGGATCGCATGTCGCCGGCGCCCTCGGGCATGCACGCGCGCAGCAGCTCCTGCGAGATCACCCGAGATCACCCGAGATCACCCGAGGTCACCCGAGATCACCAGAGATCACCCGAGATCACCCGAGATCACCCGAGATCACCCGAGAGACTACTCACGCGCAGCGGCGCCTGGTCCTCCGCCTCCCCGCCTCCGCCTCCGCCGACCGCCACATCTCCGTCAAGCGCCGCTCCCTCCCTCGCCGCAGCGCCGCCGCCCCCGTTGCCCAAGCTGCCTAGCTCGTTCAAATGTTTAACTATGAAGACTCGTCCTCCACAACTAAACAGTCGCCCCCAGTGCCAAAGCTGCCGCTGCTTCCGCTGCCCGGCACTCCGCCACCGCCGCCGCCGCCGCCGCCGCCAACACCGCCTCCTCCTCCTCCTCCTCCTCCTCCGCCTCCGCCTTCAGCCGCCTCCGCCTCCGCTGCCGCCGCCGGCGCGGCGTCGAACAGCTGCGGGTAGTGCAGCAGCGAGTGCCTATGAAGTAGCAATTACTAGTCAATGATGATCTCTTGGCACAGCATGCGGGTAGTGCAGCAGCGAGTGCCTACGCGTTCACAGCTGCTGGTGTTAAGAGGCGGCCGGTGGGGTGCAAGCCGCGGGTCAGTGCAGCAGCGAGGCGCGCCATTCGATCGAATGCACCGTCACCTCCGCCTGATAGTACTCATTCTTAGGATTAGGACTGTTCTCGCCATTCGATCGAATGCACCGTCACCTCCGCCTGATAACAACTAGCTCAGTCAGTCACTCGCCCGGCATCAGACCGCCCTCTGCCTCTCCTTCCTCCGCCTTGATCCCGCGCAGCCGTGTCCGCAGCTGCGCCTGTTGGAAGAGGTGTGAAAGGACAGCTCAGAGAGGTCTCAACTGCTCTCGCGCCACCGTTGCTGCTGCTCAGCTTAACTCGGCTACACCTCGGCTACACCTCAGCGACCTCTCGTCCCGATCTCGGCAAGCTCTCGGCAGCACCTCAATCAGCTCGCGGAACTCGCGGTTGCCTGTGTTCGCGACCAAACGTGTGAAACTACACTGCCCGCAGAGGTTCGCGGAGGCGCGTGCGGTCTGAGAGTGTTCAGGTGTGTGCGGTCACGCAGGTTGCGTGGAGTGTTGCGCTGAGTTGAGCGTGCGCGTGCGGCTGGCGAGAGAACGTGCGATTGAGCGCGAGTGTGTCCACGAGCTGCTGCTGCCAAAGAAGCGTGCGGCGAGTGGTGTCGTCCGATGGTGTGAGTTCGCCTCCTGGGCCGTCGCCCTTCCCGTCCGGCTGGCCGTCCCAGGAGAGGTTTTTGCCGTCGATAAAGTCGTCGTGGCGGCCGATGCCGTGCACGAGGAAGAGGAGGTGCTGGCGCGAGCACACTGGTGAGGCTGCAGCCGCAGCACAGCCTGCCCCGCTCTCCTCGGCCGCACCGAGCTTCTTCTCGAGCGTCCGGCGGAGCGCGCCGAGGAGCGCGGCGGCGGCCTCGGGATGGTCGGCGTCGAGTGCGATGCGCTGAATGGCGGCGAGCTCCGCGCCGATCCGCTCCATGGGCAGCCAAGAGACACGGTTTCGGGTTGTCAAGCGCCGTGCAGCCGTGGCAGTGCCCGGCGCGAGGAAGAATTTAAACAAAACAACTCTCTGTCACAGCAGACAGGCTCGACACAGGTGCGAACTGGCTTTTTTTTTTTTAAAAAAAAGTGCGAACTGGCGCGTGCTAGTACTATCACCGGCACACCACCGGAGCCGCCTAAGCGACTCCGTTAAGAACGGCAATGCACTTAGCTCCGTGCACAATGCCGCTGTCCCCGCACGCTAGCTCGTTCACCGTCTGCCACGCCACGGCGGTGTGGAGAACGACAGACAAGCGCTGCATCTGCAGCCCGTGCCAGTTCTTGGTGGTCCATGTGACCTCATCGAGGTGCTGAGCGTGCGAAAGTTTGTTACTCAGCTGGTCCGCCGCCTGCCGAAGAATTCTGCGGACGCCGTCCCCGAAGCCGCCGAACGTCTCGAAGTCGAGCAAACGCAGGTCGCAATTCTTCTCCCGCGCGAACCGGTACTCGCCCTTCTCGTAGCGGGCCGTCACGGGTGCCCCCGCCTCCGCCTCCCCCTCACTCTCCCCCTCCTCCTCTTCCGCCGCCGCCGCCTCCGCCTCTGCATCCTCCGCCTCCCTCCCCCCCTCCCCCCCCCCTCCCGGCCGCGGCCATGCAGCATGCCCTAACACTAAATCGAGCAGCGCCCGCTCGGTGTTGCCGAAGGCGACAAAAGCCCCCTTCCAGCCGAGCCGATCGCCACCCTTGCACGCAAGCGAGCTCGTCAGTTTCAAGTCGCCAACGAGGCGCACATGCCCTTTGCCGATGTTCGCCGCCGCCACGTCAGGTTGTTTTGGGTTACTGTAACTGAGGTGTGCAGACGGCTCCATCTCGATGAGCATGCCCCACGCCGAGCGAAGGGTCTTGACGAGTCGTTTGAGCAGGTATTTGTGTCGTGTCGCGTGCTTCGCACGCGGGTTGACCATTGCGGCATCGCCGAGTTCTTCGTGCGGCTTGCCGTTTGGCGCCTTCTTGCCCGCCTCCACCGCCTGGCAGGCAACATCGAGCGGGAGGCCGAGGCGGCGCTGAACTGTAATGCGCATCGCCCACGTCTCCATCTTCATATCATCCCGCATGGGGATCGCATTCAGGAAGGCGCCAGCCCCCTCCTGGCTGACTGCGACGAACCGAATCGCCTCGCGCCAGCACTTGTGGTTCTTGCACCTGCCAGTCTTGTAGCGGCCGCCCCGCCGGGATGCCTCGCTGACGAAGGCGTCGGCGAGGGCGAGCCAGTTGCGATGGTGTACGCCGACGGTGTACCGCCGCTGCGCCTGCTGTAAGAACTCGCTGGTAGACGAGAACTCCGAAAGATCCAGCATCCCTAGCCCACCCGCTCCTGTTTCACTTAACCACATAAGTCCCGACGTATTATACTTCATAAATCCATTACCTGCTATCGCCCGTCTCCTCAAGTTATTTAAGCCTCTAATGAGCCCATCCGTTGCCGGCGTCCCCCTACAGTAGAATCCTAGATACGCTCCTGTTATTGCCCTCCCACCTGTGAGAGGGCCCATTCGAGAATTCTTAACGGAGTCGCTTAGGCGGCTCCGGTGGTGTGCCGGTGATAGTACTAGCACGCGCCAGTTCGCACCTGTGTCGAGCCTGTCTGCTGTGAGAGAGAGTTGTTTTGTTTAAATTCTTTTCCGCCTGTGTCCTTGCTCCAAAGTCGATCGACTTCTCACGATGGGCTGCTTCTCCAGTCGCGTCGAGGCCCCGACCGAGGAGCCGCTCGGCCCTCCCGCCGTCGAACTCGACGCCCCGACGCCCGCCGACACCGCCCCGCCAACGCAGCCGGCAGACGCCCTCCCCTCCACCACCGATCTCGGCGTGAGCGAGGAGAAGCTGGAGCTGTGGCGCAAGAAGGGCGGCGGCGACCTCGAGCCGGTCCTCGCGAGCGGCGCCGTCGCCGTCCTCGACGCGCAGTGGGTCATCAGCCACGCCGAGGCGGGCGGCGTCCTCAACCACCGCCAGGCGCTGCCCAAAGAGGCCTTCCTCTCTTTCGCCGACCTCGTCGCGGCGACCGAGTCATTTGCCTGCCTTCCCGTCGGAGCGCTCTCCTACCCGTGGCTGACCAAGGACCACCCCGACCCGCGCGGAGCCAACCTCTCCCGCGTCGCGAGGGCGCTCAAGGCCCTGCTCAGCCATGCACGTATCCCGCGGCTCGGCGTCTTTTGGGACTTCGGCTCGCTGCACCAGCACCCCGACCCCGCCAACGGCGTCATGCGCACCGAGGAGCAGAACGCGCTCTTCAAGCAGGGACTGGGCTGCCTCGGCACGCTCTACTCCCACCAGTACACGTTCGTGCTGCGGCTGACCTCCTTCCCGGACGGCCACAAGGCGGAGGACCAGGCCGAGGGCACCAACGTGGCCAAGTACTTTGACCGCGGCTGGTGCGCCACAGAGAGCAGTTGGGCGGGCCTGACAAAGGCTGGCGGCCTCTCGCTCGACCTCGGCAAGATGCGCGACGGCGTGGAGTACGACTTCCGCAGCCTCGTCGCCGACTGCGTCCAGGACGGCGGCCGGCGCCCTCCGCTGCTGCCGTCTGCGTTCGCGGCGGAGCTGGAGATGAAGAGCTTCACCAACGGCAAGGACGACAAGCCGCTGGTGAAGCGGCTGTACGAGGCCGCCTTCGAGGAGCAGTTTGGCAAGGCGACCGAGCTGATCTACAACAGCCTCGGCTGGGGCGACGCGGAGGCGGCGCAGCTGGCGGAGGTCCTTGCGAGCGGGGCGGCGCCGCGGCTCGAGGATCTCACTCTCAACGGCAACAAGATTGGCGACGAGGGCTGGAAGGCGCTGGCCGCCGCCCTCGGCAAGGAGGGGGCAGTGCCGCGGCTCGAGACGCTCCATCTTAACCGCAACGAGATTGGCGACGAGGGCTACAAGGTGCTGGCCGCCGCCCTCAAGGAGGGGGCCGCCCCGAGCTTGAAGGCGCGAGACGCCCCCCTCGCCACACGCCCCTCCCCCGCCCAATGCTCATCGCACCTCCCCTCGCGTGCAGGAGCTCTGGGTGGGCTACAAGAACAAGGAGCAGCCTGAGCTGGTGGCCGTGTGCAAGGAGCGCGGCATCGGACTCTACTGAGCCTCTCCAGCCCAGGCCGGGCGGCAAGGGCGCGGGTTCCTGCGGGGCCGCCGCGCGAGCACGGCAGAGAGAGCAACAGACCCTGCGGCTGCGGAGCACGACGCACAGCGGCGGTGGGGGTGGGGTGCGGGGGGCGGTGGGGAGGGGGGGTCTGCGTCTCTCGGGGCGCTTCGTACGCTTGGGACAAGAGCGTCGGAGCGGGCAATGGGGCGGGGGAGGGGGAAGTGGGGTCAGGGTCTGGTTGGGCGAAAGACACACGGGAGACAGTCGGGGGAGTAGATGATGCAGACCGGACATCGATGGCCATTCGGATTAGCGTGTCAGAGTGAATTGGAACTAGCCTATAGTGCACGTGTGACTGTGAGTAGGGGGAAATACTGAAAAATGGGACCCCCCGGACGGACCTTGCTTTCATGCCGAGCGTGAAGAGCTGAGTCTCAGCTTTCAGACCCTGCAAAAATCATTGAAAAATATTAAGATGGTCCAGAATGGTGACCGAAAGACTCCGGCGCCGCAGCGCTCGCGCCTGCTTTCCTCGCAAATGCGACAAGTGAGGCCGCTGAAAGGGAAAAGAATGATGGCGTCGAAAGAAAAACCTCGGCTCAAGACCGCAAATGCTGCCGCTCCTGGTGAGCGCCAGCCCGCGCCGCGTGCAGGGCGTGTCCGGGGCGCCCTCCCCCCGAGTTCCCCCGCAAAATCCGGCCCGCGGTCGCGCGCGCGCTCCCGTCTCGCTGCTTTGGAGGAGTCTGCAGCCCCGGGCGCGCCCGCACGGCGATTGCCGCCTCCACTCCAACCTCATCCACTCTCACTCTGACATTCTCTCCAGAGTCCTCGCGTCGAGCCCGTGGCGCCGGAGCGCGAGCCCCAAGCTCGGGACACAGCGGGACATTGACGATCTGCGATGCCTGTGCGTGCAGGTGATCACGATGAGCACGGCGCCGGCGGTGGCACCCTTCCTGGTGCTCCAGGCGCGCTGCGCCCGCGCGTTTGCGACGCCCGTGTGTGCCCCTGCGCGCGCCCCGCTCGCCGCGCCGCCGCCGGGCCCGTGGGGGTCTCAGGTTTGCGCGTGTGTGCCGCAGATGTCACGACCGAGCAGCTGCAGCAGATCCTCCAGAGCGTGCAGGCCGAGCTTGAGCGGCGCGCGGCGCTGCAGCGCGGGGCGCCCGAATCGAAGCGGTGCGTGCCCGCCCTCGCCGTGGCCGCGCTCGCCCCGCCTTGGCGAGCTCTTGCCCCTCGCGCGCGCCGCAGGAACTCGATCTTGTGCGCCTCGGGCAAGGCGTTGCCCAGCGAGGCGGAGGTGCACGCATGGGCGCTGCTCGTGCTGCTACATGGCCGCGGCGCGGACGGCTCGTGGGTCGCCGTCCCGACGCTCGTCGACCAGTGGATGAACGTCGTGCTGCTGCAGTCGAGTCGCTACAAGCAGGCGCCCGCCCTGCTCTCCCACCGCCCCCCGAGCCGCCGCCGCGGCTGCTACACCTCGGCTATATCTCGGCTATATCTCGGCTATATCTCGGCTCTATCTCGGCCTTGCTGCCTGAGCCGTGTGTGCGTGTTGTGCGCAGTTGCGCGAGCGATGGCAGCCTCCGACCGACGATCCGGAGTGGCGTAACTTGGCTCTCGCCAAGGGCCTCGTCCCGTCCTTGCTCAGCCAAGCCGCCGCTCGGGCGGCGGAGCCGCTCGCCCACATCACGCGCACGCTGGTGCAGCTCGAGGTCATCGACCACGACGTCGGGCAGACCGCGCTCTCGAACTATCTGAAGAACTGCCTCGCCAAGTCCAAGGGCATCTCGGGCCCGTCGTACAACCCGGCCAACGGCTCCCACACGCTACACCGGCACATCGCCGCGGCGGTGCCCGTCGCCTCGCTCCTGAAGGTGCGCGGCAAGGAGCTGCTCTCGGCGCTGCACCGCACGCGGGAGGAGCCCGAGGCGGCGCCTTCGTACACCGAGCTGCAGGCGAGCGCCGACGCGTCGGCGGCCGCCGCGCGGCGGGAGCAGCAGCGCTCCTCGCAGCTGAGGGCGCAGGTGAAGACGCTCCAGGAGGTCAGCGTCAACGCGGTGCGCAAGGATGCGGAGCGCGAGGCGAAGGAGAAGGCGGACGCGACGGTGCAGCGCGTGCGGGCGAGCGCCGGGCAACCGCAGCAGGCGTGGCGGCTGATGAGGCGGCGCCACAGGCGCGCGAGGCGCGCCCACGGCGCAATGCACGTTGACTCTGCGGCACACACATGCAGTGGACAGCGAACACATAGGGTGATGCGATACGGCGGTAGATGGCCGAGGATGCAGACGGACCGTGGTATGTGTGTTGTGTACTTTATATGCTCATATTCCGCGTTACCACAAAACGGAGGGGATATGTACTCGGCCGCGCCGCCGCGTCGAGGCACGGGTCCCCAACCAAGCAGCGACGCCGAAGCGTCGACCGATAGAGCGCCACACCCAGCAGTATGGGCGTCGACCGCTCTCTCGAGCGGCCGCGTGGCAGTGCGTGGCGCGGGCGTCACAGGCGGCAAGCGTGGAGCCGCTGGAAGAGCCGGTGCGAGCCGTGGACGGCAGCCGCTCCCCACGTCGCCGAGAGAGGCTGCGGGGGAGAGGGTCCAGGAGGCCACAGGAGGCGCCGGGAGGCTCGGGAGGCGCTAAAAAGTGGCCCGAACGCCTCGTGCCACCCGTCTGGTGGGGCCAGGTGGGCTCAGGAATTCATCCAGGATTTTAAGGTGATCCACTACACCTGACCGAGAATTGGATGGCGAGATCGCGGCGAGATCGACCAGTCGGCCCAGGTCGGCGCCATGCACTGGCGGGCTGCACAGCGCGCTAGATTACGCGGAGGACGTGCGCTTACCACCGGGTGGGATTACCAGGCTCGCCTGGGCTCGCTGAGGGTCGATCGCGGCGCGACCCGTTTTCGGCTGTTTTCCTCGCGAATCTGGGGTGCGCGCCGGGAGCTGCAGCGCCAGCGTTTCGCGGACCTGTGCAGCCTCCGGGCACTGGGAACTTCTCCCAGGCTCGGGCAATGCGGACATGTGCCAGCGGGGGCGCGGAGGTGGTTTACATGCGGATGCGGCACGATCTTCGAGCCGAACCGACGATACAGGAGGCTCCAGAGGCGCCGTAATCGACAGTTGGCCGTCACCCAACTCCTCGCCCGCCGTGACTGTGGGTGTCTCCTGATTGCCCACGCTCGTGGCGGAGCTCGAGGTACCACTTTGGGCCACGGGACAAGCCCTGGGGAGTCACTGTAGCTCGCGCGGGGCTGAGAAGCCCCCATTCCCGCGAAAAATCGAGATTTGGCGAGATATAGGGGGCGGTTCTCATTATTTTCGGTGGCCCCAAAGCTACCCAATCACTCGCCCACCTCCCCCGAGCAGTCTAGTCCAAAAAAAACCGCGCCCCGGTCAAGTTACGTTTTCAGTGTTTGCCCCTACTGTGAGCACGGCCCCCGGCCCCAGATGCCGCGGGGGGTCCGGGGAAAGCGGTTGGGGGAGGGAATGTTGATTTGCACAAACGGGAATCCTGAATCTTTTTTAGTTTCAGCTACCTTATGGCGCATCCTGGGCGCTGGGGCCGCGCTCTCCCCACTCCCGGTGTCCCGTCCATCCCCAGAGACCCCACCATCCCGTCGGTGTTAGCTGAGTTACCAGCGAGCGAGCGGAGAGGCCGGCGCGCAACGTACAAAGCAATCGCGCGGCGTCGCGCTGCCATGCCGCGACAGCCGACCCTCCCCCCCCCCCCCCTTCCTCCCCCGCCTCTCTTCAATGTTCAAATCAATCCTCTTGCTCACCGCGCCGCCGCCCGCACCCTCTCCCGCGCCTCGTCCACCTCGAGCGCCGACCTGTTCACAGCGGCAGCCTGTGAAGAGGCGCGGCAAGCCCACGCCCTTCTCGCCATACCGCCTTACCTCCAAATCTCCCTCCACCTGACCACATCTCGCCGTATCTCCCTCCACCTCGCCGCACCTCGGCCGTATCTCGCCCTACCACGCCGTGTCTCCTCCCCCCAAATCTCGCCCCATCTCGCCCCATCTCGCTCCATCTCGCCCCATCTCGCCCCATCTCGCTCCATCTCGCTGCCGCTCGCCCCATCTCGCCCCAAATCTCGCCCCATCTCGCCCCATCTCGCCCCATCTCGCTCCAAATCTCGCTCCATCTTGCTCCATCTCGCTCCATCTCGCTGCAGCTCGCCCCAAATCTCGCCCCATCTAGCTCCATCTCGCTGCCGCTCGCCCCATCTCGCCCCAAATCTCGCCCCATCTCGCCCCATCTCGCCCCATCTCGCTCCAAATCTCGCTCCATCTTGCTCCATCTCGCTCCATCTCGCTGCAGCTCGCCCCAAATCTCGCCCCATCTCGCCCCATCTCGCCCCATCTCGCTCCATCTCGCTGCCGCTCGCCCCATCTCGCCCCAAATCTCGCCCCATCTCGCCCCAAATCTCGCCCCATCTCCCTCCATCTCGCTGCAGCTCACGAGAGCGACACGACGGCGGTCGCCACTTCCGAGATCGGCATCTCGAGCCGGCGCATGCGGTTGAAGCCTGTTCACAGCCAGGCGTGTGAACAGAGGCACAGTCGGCACATACCGAGGCGGCTGAAACCGTTAAGGGAGGGAGAGGGGGGGCGCAGCCATCGCGGCTAACCGCAGCCAATCTCGGACAATCTCGGACAATCCCGTCTAATCTAGTATTTCCTTCCCGTCGCCGCGCTCTCCTACCCGTGGCTGACCAAGGAGCACCCCGACCCGCGCGGAGCCAACCTCGCCCGCGTCGCGAGGGCGCTCAAGGCCCTGCTCAGCCATGCACGTATCCCGCGGCTCGGCGTGTTTTGGGACTTCGGCTCGCTGCACCAGCACCCCGACCCCCCCAACGGCGTCCTGCGCACCGAGGAGCAGAACGCGCTCTTCAAGCAGGGACTGGGCTGCCTCGGCACGCTCTACTCCCAACAAAGGTTAACACCGGTATCCAGTTGCCTGCCAGTGCTTGGACCCGTCACTGTCCCCGGGACAGGCCCAACAAGGGCAGGAGGGACACAAGGCACGAGGGGCACCAACGTGGCCAAGTACTTTGACCGCGGCTGGTGCTTCACGGAGCAGAGCTGGGCTGGCCTGACAAAGGCTGGCTACCTCTCGCTCGACCTCGGCAAGATGCGCGGCGGCAAGGTGTACAACTGGAGCAGCCTCCGAGCCGACTGCACCAGGGGCGGCGGTCGGCGCCCTCCGCTGCTGCCGTCTGCGTTCGCGGCGGAGCTGGAGAAGAAGAGCTTCACCAACGGCAAGGACGACAAGCCGCTGGTGAAGCGGCTGTACGAGGCCGCCTTCGAGGAGCAGTTTGGCAAGGCGACCGGGCTGGGCTACGGCGGCCTCGGCTGGGGCGACGCGGAGGCGGCGCAGCTGGCGGAGGTCCTCGCGAGCGGGGCGGCGCCGCGGCTTGAGACGCTCTATCTCGGCGGCAACAAGATTGGCGACGAGGGCTGCAAGGCGCTGGCCGCCGCCCTCGGCAAGGAGGGGGCAGTGCCGCGGCTCGAGACGCTCACCCTCTTTCTCGGCGCCAACCGGATTGGCGACGAGGGCTGCAAGGCGCTGGCCGCCGCCCTCAAGGAGGGGGCCGCCCCGAGCTTGAAGGCGCGAGACGCCCCACCTCCGAGAACGTGGCAATTGAGGCGGCCCAGCTGATTAACCCTGGTAGGTGGACAAAATTACGCGAAAATCGCCCTCCCCTCCCTAACATTAGCCGGCCAAAATGTGCTCTCGCCGGTTAATATTAGGGAGGGGGGGGCGGTCGGGTGTCAGACCTAGCTCTAGGCGTGCGAGGCTGACGTATTTTGGACAATCCCCCCGCCCCGATCCCCCCACCCCCTTGCTCCCCTCCCCCCCTCGGGAGGGCCGAACTGAGGCGCCCGTGGGGACCCCACAATTCCCTTCCCCCCTCGGAGGGGGCCGGACGGAGGCGTACCCCGTGGGCCCCGCTCTTTCCCTCGCATAGCGGCCACTCTTCGGATCGCTGGTCGAGCGACCCGGGGGATGCCCCGCGCGCCTGACCCAGGCGCGAAAAACGAATCTGCGAGGCGAGGCCGCTCACGCGGCCCGATGGGGAGGAACGGGGCGAGCCCCCTCCAACCCACCCGCGCTAGGTCTCGGGTTTGACGCATGGGGTCACACCCGCGAAACCCGTGAACTAGCCGGGGCAGTCGGAGAAGTGGCAACTCCGTGCACTGACGGTCGGCCGCCAGAAAACACGCCTCCGTGGCTCGGGTTACACCAATCCTCGCTACCCAACGCGGCCAAAGGATATCCACCTCGAGAACCTCGAGAACCACGTACCAGTGTTAAAATTCTTTTTGCTGCCGCTACGGATGTTGCAGTTCCGCCGGAGCTTGCGTCCCGCGGCCCTCCGCTCGGCGCTTCGCTCGGCGCCGCCGCTGGCTCCGCCGCTCGCCGGCCGTGCGAGCTGCCCGCTCGCCGGCCGCGCACGCTTCGCCTCCGCCGCGTCGAGCGCCGCCTCGCCGGGAGGCGGCCGGTTGGCTGCGGCCGGTCTCGCCGCCGCCGCCGCTGCTGCCGCGGGCTACGGGGCGTGGCAGCTGCAGCTGGGCGCGGGCGAGGACGAGGCTGCGCCGCTGAGCGGCGGCGGCGGCGGCGGCGGCGTCCCCGAGGCGTCGCTCACCCGCCGCCAGCTCGAGGCGATCTACGCGTTTGAGAAGCGGATCGGGCAGGGCGGGTTCGGCGACGTGTGGCTGGCGCGCGACGCGAAGAGCGGGCGGCAGGTCGCGGTAAAGCTCATCTCGCTCGAGAAGCTCCCTCGCGCCATGGTCGAGGTCGAGGTCGAGGCGATGCGCCGCTGCGGTAGAGCGCAACACCTCTGCAGGCCAGCCTCTGCTGCAGCCTTCTGTCTTCACGGCGCTTGTATTCACACGGCGCGTAGGCTCTCACCCGTACATCATCGAGCTGCTGGGCGTGTACTGGGTCCGGCCCGAGGGGCGTGCGGCCGACAGCGGCCCTGTCGAGGCGGCGATTGTGATGGAGCTGGCCGGCGGCGGAGGCTTTCCTTAGCCGAGATCACGCGAGATCACGCGAGATCAGCCGAGATTGTGATGGAGGCTCGCCGGCGGCGGAGGCGACCCGAGATGACCCGAGAGATACGCGAGATCATTGGAGATCATTCGAGATCACCCGAGATTGCGCGAGGGGCCCTTCTCGGAACCTTCCTGTGGCAGGCCTGTTCGAGCGCCTGGTTGCGGAGGGCGCGTACACGGAGCAGATCGCATCCAAGATCATCAAGCAGGTGCGAGATGCGGCCGAGAGATGGGGCACGCCTCGGCTGTCACACCCTGCCGGCTGCTCTTCACACCTCGTCTGTCCATGTTGCCACCTCCGCTAACAACCGCGTACCAATGTACTTCTTTTCCCAGGTCGCCCTGTCGATCTACCACCTCCACTCGCGCGGCATCCCGCTACCGCCGACCTCAGCAAGGCGGTGGCAATCAGCTAATTAGTTATTAATTGCATGATTCAGGCGTCCCGCGCCGCCGGTCTCAGCCGGAGAAGGCGGTGGTGCATCAACTCATTCATGACTCCTTGCTGGGCTCAGGCATCCTGCACCGCGACCTCAAGCCCGAGAACGTCGTCTTCGAGTGCGAGGCGCGGCAGGCTGCGGTCGAGCTGTGAAGAGGAGGGCCGGAGGTGTGAACAGAGGCGCTGTGCACAGGAGCGCGACTCTGCGATCAAGCTGATCGATTTCGGTGCCGCCGCCACGCTGGAAGGGGGTGATAGAATGCGCGGCTCTTCACAGCTGCAGCTGTGAACAGGCACCGCCGTGACGCTGGACGAGGCGGGGGAGAAGGTGCAGGGCGGAGGGCGGATAGGCACCTCGTCTTTGCTGAGTCATGGTTAGTTGTTCCTGCACTACTCGGTGATCCGTTAAGCGGAATAGGCACTTGGTCGTACTGGGCGCCCGAGCAGCTGGCGCCGCCCTTCCTCTTCACACCTCTTCCCACTGTGAACGTGGACTCTTCACGGCATGCGTGGTGTGAACAGGCGCAGCAGCCGTACGGCTTTGAGGTCGAGCTGTGGCCGTGCCGGAACTTTCTCGGAATTTTCTCGGAACCGGGTGCGACCCTTCTCGGAATTTTCCTTAGGTCGACCTCTGGTCGCTCGGCGTGCTCCTCTACATCCTGCTGGTTGGCTTCCACCCCTTCGACCCGGAGGGGGAGGCGAGATTAGCTCGAGATTGGCCCGAGTTCGGCCGAGAGTCCGTTGCTTGTGAACGCGCAGACATGAAGTCGCGTGTGTGTGTCGTAATCCAGCTCACTCGTCGTTTTGCACCCGGTGCTCTCCGAGGCCGGCCAGCACGTAAGCACCAAGCGTAAGCACCAAGCGATGCGGTCGGATAGTAAGCACCAAGCGATGCGGTCGGATAGGCGAACGAGCAGCAGATCCTCGCAAACATGAAGGCGCGCACGCCTCCTGCCTCCGACACGCCCAATCCGTTGAATGGCTTCTTACTTAGTTAGTTTGATCGACATCAGGCGCACCGCCTCTGCCTCGACGCGCCGGAGTGGGGCACCGTCTCCGGGCAGGCAAAGGGGCTCCCGCTAGCTAATTTGACTACCGAACTTCGTTGCGTGGGGCACGGTCTCGGGGCTCGCGCTAATTAGTTTGACTACGCAACGAAGCTTGGCATCCTCCCCCCCCCCCCCCTCGGGGCAGGCAAAGGGGCTCGTCGTCTCTTTGCTCGAGCCCGACCCGGAGCAGCGGCTGACGGCGGCGCAGCTCATCTCGCACCCGTGGGTGCTCGGGCAGGACGTGCCGGGCAGGCCGATGCCGGCGACGCAGGAGCGGCTGCGCCACTTCACGCAGGCCCGCAACGCGTTCTACGGCTCGCTGCTCATGGGCCTTCTCGTGCACCAGCTGTCGACCAGTGCGGACGCAGAGGGGCTCGGCGGGCTGCAAGTGGGCTGGAGTACGACCGATGCAGAGGGCTGGATGACAAGGATGGCATCGGTATCAGGCGGGCTGCAAGTGGACGTGGTTCGCGAGGGGTGGCGCGCGCTCGACCGCGACGGGAAGGGCCACATCGACGCGCAAGACTTGTGGCGCGTCTGCCTCGACATGGGGTACAAGGTGCCGCCAGTGGACAGCGGGCCAGGTGGTGTTGCGGTGCTCCCGCTTGGGTTGATGCACGCACTGCGCACTGGTCATCAGGTGTCGCCAAAGGACGTGGACCAGATGGTCTGCGTGCTCGCTCCGACGGGGCTAGAGAAGAAGGTGCACCAGCGCGCCTGGTGTGAACGGCGTCTCTTCACACCTGCAGCTGTGAACAGGCTAGAGAAGAAGGTGCACCAGCGCTACTCCTCCCGCGGCGACGGGAAGCCGGCGCCGGAGGCGGGAGGAGGAGGAGGCAGCAGCGGCGGCGGAGCGGAGGGCGGCGGCGGCGGCGGCGGCGGCGGCGGCGGCCCGGCTCGCATCTCGTACGAGCGCTACTGCAAGACGCTGGCGGGCTCCTTCTCGCGCACCTTTGAGAAGGGGGCGTACGTGTTCAAGGAGGGGGGAGGGGGCGGCGGACGCGACCGCCGCCCTCGTGTCAGTTAGCTGAGCCATAGTTGATCATGGACAGGAGGGGGACCCGGTGGACGCCTTCTTCGTGATCACGAGCGGCGCCTGCGAGGTGCGTTGCCCGGGCGGCGCGGAGATGATGATCTCGGCTGCATCTCGGCTGCATCTCGGCTGCATCTCGGCTGCATCTCGGGTAGGTGCGGGTCGCGGGCCCGGACGGCAAGGAGCGGCTGATTGCGACGCTCGGCGCGGGCGACTTCTTCGGCGAGACTTCTTAAACTAGTCTTAAATTATTAATTATTAATTCAGGCGCGGGCGACTTCTTCGGCGAGACTGGCTTGCTGGAGGGGAGGAGCGTGCGGGCGGCGTCGGTGTTTGCGACGGCGCCGCTCGAGGTGCTGGCGATCACTGATTAGCAATTAATTAATGACTCACTAATTGGTCACCAATTGCCGCTCGAGGTGCTGGCGATCGACCGAAAGGTCTTCAACGAGGCGCGCGCACACCTCTTAATTATTAACTCGTTGAAGAAGGAAGGAGTTGATCCATTTGTTTTTCACAGGTTGCGAGCGTGCACAACTCGTCCGCTCTCTCCACCTCGATGCGCGAGCGCGCCGAGGCGAGGCAGCGGGCGAGGCTGCTAATTATTTCATAGGCAACTAATTAATAGGTGCCTAATTAATGACTAGGCGAGGCAGCGGGCGAGGTTGCTCAAGGTGTTTGAGAACATGTCGGTCTCCCTCTCGCAGCGCCGCCGCTTCGGCAAGGGGGCGGTGGTCTACCAGCAGGGGAGTCCGGCTCAGCTCTTCTACATCGTCAACGAGGGCGAGCTCGAGATGTCGGTGAATAAGCCGGACGGAGGCTCTTCACACCGCCTGGCTGTGAACAGGCGAGCTCGAGATGTCGGTGAATAAGCCGGACGGAGGCTCTTCACACCGCCTGGCTGTGAACAGGCGAGCTCGAGATGTCGGTGAATAAGCCGGACGGAGGCTCTTCACACCGCCTGGCTGTGAACAGGCGAGCTCGAGATGTCGGTGAATAAGCCGGACGGAGGCTCTTCACACCGCCTGGCTGTGAACAGGCGAGCTCGAGATGTCGGTGAATAAGCCGGACGGAGGCTCTTCACACCGCCTGGCTGTGAACAGGCGAGCTCGAGATGTCGGTGAATAAGCCGGACGGAGGCTCTTCACACCGCCTGGCTGTGAACAGGCGAGCTCGAGATGTCGGTGAATAAGCCGGACGGAGGCTCGGTGCGTGTAAAGACGCTGCGGCCGGGGGACCATTTGGGGTATGATGCGATCTTCTCGGAGGTGCTACGACTCGGCGGTGACTTGGATGAGTTGGTTAGCTAATTCGTCACCTTAATTGAACAATCGCATCAGGTGCACGACACGACGGTGACTTGCCTGAGCGAGGTCGAGCTGACTGAGGTCACAAAGGAGGTGCTGGCGTTAGTTAATTAATTAATAGATGACTACTTAATTAATTAGGTCGAGCTGACCGAGGTCACAAAGGAGGTGCTCGGCGACGCCTTCTCGAACGACCGCTACTTCTCGACCATCTTCGAGGCGAGGCAGCACTTGCGCGAGGGGCAGCTGGCGGCGGCGTCGCAGGGGGAGGCACAGATTCTGCCGATGATGGCGCGCGCGGCGGCGGCGGGAGACGGCGTCGACTACAGCCAGTACGAGTCGCTCATCAAGGAGATTGCGCCAGATTGTTGGTTGATTACTAGGCGTCGACTACAGCCAGTACGAGTCGCTCATCAAGGAGATTGCGCCAGATTGTTGGTTGATTACTAGGCGTCGACTACAGCCAGTACGAGTCGCTCATCAAGGAGATTGCGCCAGATTGTTGGTTGATTACTAGGCGTCGACTACAGCCAGTACGAGTCGCTCATCAAGGAGATTGCGCCAGATTGTTGGTTGATTACTAGGCGTCGACTACAGCCAGTACGAGTCGCTCATCAAGGAGATTGCGCCAGATTGTTGGTTGATTACTAGGCGTCGACTACAGCCAGTACGAGTCGCTCATCAAGGAGATGGCGCCAGATTGTTGGTTGATTACTAGGCGTCGACTACAGCCAGTACGAGTCGCTCATCAAGGAGATGGCGCCGCTGGAGGTGTCGCACGGCGAGGCGATCTTCCAGCAGGGGGGCATTGGCGTTAATTAATTAAGTAATTAATTAATAGGTGTCGCACGGCGAGGCGATCTTCCAGCAGGGGGGCATTGGCGTTAATTAATTAAGTAATTAATTGATAGGTGTCGCACGGCGAGGCGATCTTCCAGCAGGGGGACCCGCCCGAGCAGGTTAAGTATGGACTAGGAGCGATTAATTATTAATCTTCCAGCAGGGACCCCACACACACACACACCGCCCCCCGAGCAGGTCTACTTTGTGTCCGAGGGGCAGCTCGAGTGCGAGTATGACCCGAAGCTCGACTCGCGCGCAAAGAAGCGGCGGCCGTCGGGCGAGGCGGTGGTCACGCTGTGAACGGCGCCTCTTCACACCTCGTGTCTGTGAACAGGCGGCCGTCGGGCGAGGCGGTGGTTGGGCGCGACGGCAAGCCGCGCGTGGTAGCGACGCTTGGCCCAGGCGACCACTTTGGGGAGACGGCGATGCATTAGGCGGAGGAGACGAGCTTTGATTATCGGTCGTTCCTCGTTAGGCGACCACTTTGGGGAGACGGCGATGCATTAGGCGGAGGAGACGAGCTTTGATTATCGGTCGTTCCTCCTCAGGCGACCACTTTGGGGAGACGGCGATGCATTAGGCGGAGGAGACGAGCTTTGATTATCAGTCGTTCCTCCTCAGGCGACCACTTTGGGGAGACGGCGATGCATTAGGCGGAGGAGACGAGCTTTGATTATCGGTCGTTCCTCCTCAGGCGACCACTTTGGGGAGACGGCGATGCATTAGGCGGAGGAGACGAGCTTTGATTATCAGTCGTTCCTCCTCAGGCGACCACTTTGGGGAGACGGCGATGCATTAGGCGGAGGAGACGAGCTTTGATGATCGGTCGTTCCTCCTCAGGCGACCACTTTGGGGAGACGGCGATGCTGGAGGCGAGGAAGGCGCGAAACTTGACGGTGCGCTGCGTCACCGCGAGCTGCGTGCTGCGGGCGATGAGCATGGCGCGTTTCAGCGAGATCTTGCGGCAGCGGCCGGAGCTGCACTTCACGGTGCAGCGGGCGGCGGTCCTTGCTGGGCGGGCAAGTCTCTTCACACCGTCTGGCTGTGAACAGGTGCAGCGGGCGGCGCAGATGCGGACGAACCAGCGGATTCGCAACGTCGTCGCTTCAGCGGCGGACGAGGACTTGCGCGTCGTCAGCTTTGCGCCAGGCGATACCATCTTCCGGCAGGGCGACCGCTTCGTGGACACTTCCGTGACACTTCCGAGACACTTCCCCAGGCGAGACCATCTTCCGGCAGGGCGACCCGTCCGACTCCTTCTACGTGCTCGAGAGCGGCGAGGTGGAGATGTCGCTGGTGCCGCCTCTTCACAGCGCCGGAGGAGAAGTCATCTACGCGGGAGAGGCTCGTAATCACTCGTAATTAATGGTTAATCATCAGGTGCCCGCGTCGGAGGAGGATGAGCCTTCCGCGCCCGTGCCGGTCCCGCACTTATACACTTCAGGAGCGGGGTTCGGTGTGAAGACGAGAGGTGTGAAGACTATGGCTGTGAACAGGCCCGCACCTGCACTGCCGGCGAGACGATTGTCCGGGGCTGAGAAGCACAACAAAGAACTCTGTGAACAGGTCCGCACTTGCACCGCCGGCGAGACGTTCGGCGCGTCGGGGCTGCTGCCGGGAGACAACGCGCGCCGCGCAACAGGGCGACGGCCTTGGGGGAGATCGCCCGGAGATCGCCCGAGATTGTCTGAGATTAGGTGCGCCGCAACACGGCGACTGCGCTCTCGCCCGTCGTCGTCAAGGTCATGCCCGTGAAGCTCTTCAAGGCGATGGTGCGCGAGGACGGCTTCCTGCAGGCCTCGGCCCCCTGCCACCACACCACCGCCAAAGTATGTGTGTGTGTGTGTGGGGGGGGGGGGAGAGAGAGAGAGAGAGAGAGAGAGAGAGAGAGAGAGAGAGAGAGAGAGAGAGAGAGAGAGAGAGAGAGAGAGAGAGAGAGAGAGAGAGAGAGAGAGAGAGAGAGAGAGAGAGAGAGAGAGAGAGAGAGAGAGGCTTACCTCGCCTGACCTCCCTGCAGGCCGGGCTGAAGGCGTCGGGCTCGTACGTCGAGGCGCGCGCCGTGTCGGAGCTCGACGAGACGCTGGACGCGGAGGTGCAAAAGGCGATGGCCAGATGACGCGCAGGGCTCGCGAGGCGCAGGGGTGCGAGAGAGGGTGGGGCGCGGTTTTTTCGTTTGCGTTGGAGGAGGGCTCTCGCCAAATCGTATATTACACGGCCCGCTTGCCGCTGCTCACCGAGGACGGAGGAGCGCGGCAACTCACGACACACGAGCAACACGGCTGCCAGCGATCTCAATTCTCATCCTGCAGGAGCCGACACGGAGGACGCCGCGGCCCGCGCGGAGCCCATGCAAACCCTCTCGAAAGCGGAGAGAGCCAGCAGGCTTCAGACCAAAAACTGAAAAGAAATCCCTTTATACATTCTTTCAGGAGATCAAGGGGCGTGTGCGCATGGTGATGCAGGGCGGGCTGGACGCAGTTGGTCGACGAGATGTTGGACGTCACGAGGCCGCCGAGGCGGAGGCGGCGAGGCGGGCTCGCGTGGAGCAGTAGCGCGCCGCAGCGGAGCAAGAGCGGCAGCCTCGCCAACTCCGGTTACCTCTCGAAGGCCTGTGCGCGCTTCTCCACCAACCCGATCGCCGAGACTGGCCTCTTTGACGACGGGCTCTCGGAGGAGCAGGAGCTGGTGCGCAACACGCTCCGCTCCCTCCCTCCACCCCCAGCGCGACGAGCCGCCGCCTCCCAGCACCTTTGAGCCGGTTCCCGAGCCCTTCGGCGTCGTCAAGCGCTACGTGACTAACTCCGCCGAGTACAAGAAGGCCTTCTGGGACAGGTCTTCCACTCTGTCCGTCGACGGTGTCAGCTACGAGGAGCTCGAGTTCCTGCACTACGCGGGCCCGGATGTGCGGGAGGTCCTGTTCGACATCGTGGCCGCCATCAACCAGGGCAGGGTGCACGACAGCACCGCCGCGCTCTGGGGCGACCTCTAGCTGCTGGGTGCGATCGAGAAGCGGGACGACAAGGGCAACCTCACTGGCACCCGCCCCATCGGCATCCCTGCAGCCATCCGCCGCCTTGCCAACCGGGTCCTCATGAGCAGCCTTGTGGCGGCGCGCATGCGCCGCAGGGTTGACCGACAGCCGCGCGCCTCGAGCCTCTCGCTCCACTCGCGGCACGACGCAGGCACCCCGCGCGCCGGTCAGCGCAACAGGAGTATTGCGACATGCTGCACAACGCCAAGGACAGCACTGAGAAGCTGGCGCCAGTCGCCCACCAGCATGTCTCAGCACCGGGTGAGGGAGCATGCTGCGCACGCCGTGATGCAGCACGAGGTCACCACCAATCAGGCCCTCACGCCACTGCACGGCCGCCCTCGAGCACCAGCAGCCGCGCTGCGCAATGCTCAAGCTCAGGAGGCCCCTCTGCTTCTCGCAGCTTTGTGCAGCGCAGCGAGCGAGCAGCGCCGCACCCAGCGGACCCATGGCGTGCTCAGCCAGCCGCGAGGCGGAGGCAGGCCGAGTGAGCGCGAGCCGCGCGGGAGGCCATGCCCCGCGCACCGGCGAGAGAGAGGCACGAAAGAGTGCACAAGTCGCGCATGCTTTTGCGTACGGATCCGATGTTTCTAGGAGGGGGGACGGCGAAGGAGGCGGTGGAGGTGGCGGGGGCCGGGGGGGGCGAGGGGGGGGGTCGGTGGGTAGGGGAGGCGGCGAAGTGGGGGGGGGGGGGGGGGGGCAATAAAGGAAAAGGCCCTTAGGGGGAGGCGGTCCAGGCGGGGAGGGAGGGGACAACCTCCCCCCTCGGGGAAGGCGGTAAAGGAAAGGATGGCCAGGGAGGTGACGGGAAAGGCGGCGGCAGGGGGGGAAAGGAGGAGGAGGTGGGAAAGGGGGACGGCAAGGGAGGCGGCGGCTTCCAAGGGGGGGGGGGGGCAAGGAAGGGGCCCCCAGGGAAGGCGGCAATAAAAGATTTGGCTTTTTGGCAAGGGCGGAGGCGGTAATAAAAAGGCCCCCCGGAAAGGGCCCCCGGGGGAGCCCCCCCCGTCGGAGGGAACCACCAGGCAAAGTTCAAAGGAGGCCCCCCTTTAGGGGGGGAAAAAGGGGGGGGGGGGGGAGTGGAATTGATGAATTGGGCCGTTGTCCGTGCCTCCCCTCCATACGTCAGAGTGGAGGACCTACGCCGCGCCGGGTAAGGGGAGCGCCCCCAAAACGACCCACGGCAAGCAGGCGGCGAAAGTTCCCATCCTCGCCCGCTCGCGTCGAAATTTTGCAGAGGAACTCGCCTTTCTTGTAGACGTCTTGCAGCAGCTCGCGCGTGAGCGTGACGCCAAACACCTAGAACAGGAATGCAAAAGTGGATGGCTGTGCGACTGACACAGCTGGTCACAAGATCTGGGTGGGCTGCTCCTCAGCGCGCAGCGGCAGCTTCTGGCGCACCCGCAGCTTCAACCCCGATGCGGGAATGGGGACCAGCTCGCCGCGCGAATAGATGGCCACCGGGATGCTCGGCGTGAAGGTGCACACCTACCACATCAGCTGTGAGTAGGCAAGTGATAGCAAGTGGGTGCTAGTGAGCAAGGCCGCCACGGGTAGGAGAGCGCTCCGACGGGAAGCCAGTCATACTTGCCGGTCGCCTCGACGAGGTCGGCGAAAGAGAGGAAGGCCTCTTTGGGCAGCGCCTGGCGGTGGGTGAGGACGCCGCCCGCCTCGGCGTGGCGGACGACCCACTGCGCGTCGAGGACGGCGACGGACTAGGTCCAGCCCTGGGTGGCGCAAGATCTGAGGTTTTGTGACAATCCTCAGATCCGTGTTTTTCTCGTTGTTTTGTCGCTCGCTCCGCTCGCCACCTCACGCTCCGTAGCCCGGCCATGGCCAGTACCCCGCGTCTCAGTGAGACGCGTGGTACCATCCAACTCCGGTCGACGGGCTCGAATGCGCTCAGCCTCAGGAGGGACAAAACCGCGCGAATTCTGCACGCCTCGCTGCACCGCTGGCTTGACTGAATCAGGCAGCAGCAGGCTGCTGCTGCTGCCACAGCAGCAGTCTGCTGCGGCCCTAATACGCAAGTTGATGACTAGCAGCACTGCCGGGGGCATTCGAGCCGCCACAGCCGGTGTGCGGCTGTGCACTGCCACCTGCCCGCGGCTACGCACAATGTGCGCTCGCATTGGATGAGCCCTGCTGATGGACCTGCATCGCCTAGCTGCACGAGAGCAATGCCGCAGGCAGTGGCCGTGGCATACACTGCGAGCACACTTGGTGCAGCTGCGAGGTGCAGCAAGAGCACGTCGTTCCTGCCTCTGATGCCACTCTCGCGGCTTGCAGCGCGTCACTCGCGCATGCTCTCCAGGAGCTATGGCGGGCGCGTGTGTGGGGCTGTAGCCTGTGTTTGGCCGGTTCTGACCCGTTTACTATCAGTATCATGTCCGGGCCACAAAAAATCGCACACGGGTAGCGGCCCAGGGGCCCAGTAAGTCGCGGAATCGCCAAATGTCACAACCTGCGCCACCCAGGGCTGGACCTAGTCGACGGCGCCGCTCGCGAGGACCGGCTCGAGGTCGCCACCACCGCGCTTGCGCCACTCCGCCAGCTTCTCCTCGCTCACGCCGAGATCGGTGGCGGAGGGGAGGGCGGCGGCCGGCTGCGTCGGCGCGGCGGTGTCGGCGGGCGTCGGGGCGTCGCGTTCGGCGGCGGGAGGGCCGGGCAGCTCCTCGGTCGGGGCCTCGACGCAGCTGGAGAAGCAGCCCATCGTGAGAAGTCGATCGACTTTGCAGCAAGGACACAGGTGGAAAGAATTTCGTCCGTGTCGGCAATCGCACGATCGACTTTGACAAGGACACAGGTGGAAAAGAATTAGGCACTCCGGCAAAGGTCATGGAGGTGAGGCTCGGCTGCAGGGACCCGACGCGGGCGCACGATCCGGACACCAACCCGTACCAGCGGGGCGACGGCGTCTTGCCCGCTCCGACGCTCTTGTCCCAAGCGTACGAAGCGCGCCCCAAGAGACGCAGACCCCCCCCCCCCCCCCC